TTCTTGGATTTTCTCTCTGTTTTTGATATATGAGTAGGTTTCCAGGATCTGAAGTCTCCTCTGGTTTTTCCTCCTAAGGAATGGTTATTGGTTTGGGGGTTTTGTCTCCCCATTCTCATTGTTGGGGTATTGTTGAGGCTCAGGTGGGGCTATAATGTGTGCAGGGTGAGATTTGCTGGCTGAGTTTTAAGTTTTGCTGGGCAGAAGGATCTCTACTCTGTGAATTTTATTTGTCCTAGTTACTTTCCTTAGCTAGGAAAAGTACTAATGTTAGCAATAGGTCTACAGTCTTAAGATAAATGTCAGGTGTTTACTCTGACATCCATAATGTTAATGATGACCTATATAGGCGTCATGGGGTTAGCATTTAACATCATTAGAACAATAAAAAATTGTGATGTAAATTAGGCATTAAACAACAGGTGACTACTGTGTCATCCACTGTATGAATAATTACAATAAGATGGATGGGGAAGAAATTACATAAACTATATAATTCTATTAAATAGTAGGTTTACAGTTTCTTAAGTGAAGGGACAATATGTTAGAAAAGTGTTTTAGTCAGCTTTTTCACTTCTGTGACTAAAGGACCTGACCAGAACAACTATAGGACAAGAAAAGTTTATTTAGGGTCCCACAGTTTCAAGGTCTCAATCCATAGATAGCACACTCCACTCCTAGTGGCTCAGGGTAAGGCAGAACAACACGGTGGAAAAGTGTGGCTGAGGGCAACCATTCACATAATGATCAGTAAGCAGAGAGAGAGACTCCACCCTCCAGATAGAAAACATATCCCAAAGCCATGCCCCCAGTGAACCACTTCCTCCAGCCACACCCCACCTAGCTCCAGTCTCCACTCAGTTAATCCCATCAGGGATTCATTTACTGATTAGGTTAAGGCTATGACCCAATCATTTTTCCTTCAAAYCTTTTTGCATTGCCTCACATGTGAGCTTTTGGGGCATGCCACATCTAAACCATAACATTCGTCCCCTGGTCTCCAAAAGCTCACACTCATCTGACAATGCAAAATACATTTAGTGCATTCCCAGAGTTCCTATGATCTCAATAGTTCTGAAATTGCTCAAAGTTCAAGTCTTAAGTCTTCTCTGAGGCTCAAGGCAATCTTGCATTATGAGCTCATGTAAAAAGACGAGTGGTGGGAGGGAAAGGGAGAGAGAAGGGAAACTGTATGGAAATGGAAGGAGACCCTCATTGTTACACAAAATTACATATAAGAGATGGTGAGGGGAAAGGGGAAAAAACAAGGGAGAGAATTGAA